AAACTGGCCATATAAATGGATTCGATGTATACCTCTGGTCTTGCGAAAATGGACTCCATCAATGGTATGCGCCTTATAAAACCCAGAAGCAAAAATTCGAATGGTGTCCAATTTGCCAACATTTTAAAGGGGAACGATCCGCGAGATATATTTTTGAGGATTTGTTAGATAAGAAATTTTCACCATGCTCAGATAAATTTTTGAATAGATTGAGCCTTGATGGATACAACAAAGAATTAAAATTGGCATGGGAATATAATGGGGTCCAGCATTTTTATCAGAATGCAATGTTCCATAAAAAACGAGATGATTTAGATAAGCAAAGGAAGCGTGATGAAAAAAAGCGGGAAATATGCAAAAGAGAGGGCATAGATCTCATTGAGGTGCCATTCGATTGTGATTTACTTCCCTATATTAAATATGTATTGATAGAAAAAGGTTATTTGTGTGATAAAGAATAAACTCATAAGATAAGTACTGATGTCATCTAATAAACTTCATCCACTTTCCTTGCCTGAACTTTTAACTGAAATTTTCTCATATCTTACCGAAGACAAAGCATTATATCCGACCCTATTTGTTAACCGGTTGTAGTACTTATGCTCTGTTCCAATTATATGGAGAAAAGCTGAATTTTATAGTGATATAACAAGATCATGTATACGATGGGACAAATTCAAAAAGGTAATGCATAGGAGTTATACATCTCATGCTTTATATTTATTTCAACTTCATCTCTCTAGTTGTAAGGTCACTAATAATGAGTTATATGGGATTGCTAAATCTTGTCCCAACTTGCGCCATCTAAAAATAATGTGGTGTCGTGGTTTATCTGATAGAGTCATTAGTAAGATTGCGCAAATTTGTCCTTTGGAATTCCTCAGTGTTTCATGTAATAGTAAAGGTATAAAACGGGCCAGTAAATTATATAATATGAAGGATACAACTTTATGTAAAATTGCAAATTCGTGCCCAAATCTACAATACCTAAAACTTAAATCTTATAAGCTATCTGATATATCATTGAAAAAAGTGGCCCACTTATGTACTAATTTGCGTTACTTAAAATTGAAATATAATGAGCATATTACCGATACATCTATAGTCCTAATTGGGCAAAACTGCTCATATTTAGAATATCTTGGTTTATGGGGAGCCAATATTACTGATGCATCATTAAAACAGATTGCTGAATCATGCCCGAAACTCCACACTCTACGCTTAATCGATTGTGAAAAAATAACTGATCAAGGAGTGTACGCAATTGCTTCAGCATATCCAAATATGCAAAAATATGTATTGGATGACTGTGGAGAGATTACTGATATATCAGTTAAAAAAATTGCGCAATCTAACCCAAATCTTAAATATCTTAACTTAAATTGGTGTCATCTTGTATCTGATGATTCTATTTGTGCAATAGCGCGATCATGTCCAAAACTTGAACAGCTTTATCTTGAGAATTGCGACATTACTGATGTATCTATGTCTGCATTAGCAAATTTGTATAATCTTCAAAAACTTGATATTGAGGATTGCGAGAAAATTAGTATAAATGAAATTATAACCTTGCAAAGTAAAATTCCTACTCTTGATATCATCGGTTGGTATTCAGATACGAATAGTGAGTCGGGTATATCATTATAGCGGAGTTAGACTCGGAGAGTCATTTCAAGGAAATAGTGTCAAGACACATAAAAAATCCAGTGAATATGTATATATAGCAATAAAGATCATTATTTTTCAGGTATAATAATTAGTGACTTAGCTTGATCGAGATGAAAATAGAAAAGCTTGATCCA